ATTGGATCACTAGGTGTAATATGCCTGGGCAAAAAAAATCAATTTTCTTGTTACCCTGCAAGACAAGAGCGCCTGGCACACTGCTCCTCTTTCAATTATGTTGCATTTGCATGCCACTTAATCTTTGGGATTTAGCATGCCTGCAGTCCAAATGCAGCAAGGATCCTTACTGTGAGCAAAAGGGGTGTATTCTCCTTTGCAGGATCCCTGGCCAAGAAAAATGGGAAAAGAAAAATCATTATGAAGGTCTGTACGTTTTCTAGCCTCTTTTAATATTTTGATCCCCCCCCCCAAACTGAGGGCCTGACAGTGAAGCATCTGCAGGAAGTTCAGAGAACATCAAGAACCCAATACTAAGTTGATATTGCAACTTCCTCTCCTTTTTTTCCTAAATTTCATCATAGAACTCCACTGGTAAGTCCATACCTGGAATATTGCATCCACTTTTAGTTGCCACACTATATAAAAAAGATGTTGAGTCTCTAGAACAGTGATGGCGAACCTTTTAGAGACCGAGTGCCGAAACTGCAACCCAAAACCCACTTATGCATTGTCGGGTGCCAGGTGGGTGTGGCCCATTGGGTGGGTGTGGCCCATTGGGTGGGCGTGGCTGCGGTGATAACGGCAGACTGGGTGGGACTAAAAAGTTCAATCAATCAATTCCAACTTTGCAAGATCTTTTTTTTCCCCGTGAAAAATTGAAATTGACTGATTGATTGAACCTTTTTTTTGTTGTACATGGCGGCGGAGGCCTAAAGCGAAAAGGTTTTATAAAACCCAGCTGAAGGCCTAGGACTGGGGCGATGGCGCGTGTGCCCACAGAGAGGACTCTGAGTGCTGCCTCTGGCACCCGTGCCATAGGTTCGCCACCACTGCTCTAGAATGAGTGCAGAGAAGAGCAACAAAGATCATTAGGAGACTGAAGCCTAAGGCATTTAAAGAACAGTTGCAGGAATTGGGAATGTCTATTCTAATGAAAAGAAGGACTAGGGGTGACATGGTAGCAGTCTTCCAATATCTAAGAGGCTGCCACAAGGAAGAGGGATCCACCTATTCTCCAAAGCACCTGAAACAATAGATGGAAACTAATCAAGGAGAGAAGCAACCTAGAACTAAGGAGAGATTTCCTGACAGTGGGAACAATTAACCAGTGGAACGACTTGCCTCCAGAAGTTGTGAGTGCTCCAACACTGGAGGTTTTCAAGAAGAGATTGGACAGCCATTTGTCTGAAGTGGTATAAGGTTTCCTGATCAAGCAGAGGGTTGGACTAGAAGACCTCCAAGGTCCCCTCCAACTCTGTTATTTCTATTATTCTGTTTTGTTTAAAATTATGCTAAAATTATGAATTAGATTATGTGTTCCATGGCATTCCTCTGAATGTGTCATGTCCAAGGATCAAGAATGTTCTGAGGAATTACTTCAGAGTAATTTCTTTATTGTTGCTCATCTATAGACAGAATCTTGGCAGAGTAAAGCAACTATCGGTGTAACTATTAGATATACCTTGCAAACTGCAAGTTCATCCTTTTTCTGCGCACCAAAAGTTCTAAGCTATGTTGTTTCTTTGCTCCCCTCCCTCCTGCAACTGTAGATTACATTCCAGCACAGAATTTTAATGAGTGTATATCTATGTTTGGCTGCAGTATTTGCATGCAGTTGTGTACCACAAGTTCAGAGTTCTAGACCTAACATCTCTGATCATGTAGAATTTTTTCCCCCTGATAATATAAATGAAATGCTTGCGACTATGGGCAGAGTTCCTCGTCATTGGAAAATGTGTGTTTGTGTGTTTTGTTTTGTTTTGTTTTTTAAAAAAACAAAAATTACAAATGTAATTCTTATCTTTTCTTCACTTTAATACTAAGAAGGAAAAATGGAGTTTAACCTGATTCACATTTTCGTGAACAAATGCTTGGATCAGATCATTAGCAGGTGAATCTAAATCTTACAACATAGTTATGTAATCTTGTAACTTGGTTCAAAAACTAGTATGCTTGTGCCTATTAGATCAAAACTGCGGTTAAAGAAATAATTTGTGCGGAAAAAGAAAAATTGATTTTTACAGGGTTTATCTTAAATGTCACACTGGACATTGTGACAATGCGTCTTGGACAGCCAAAAATGATAAGGACTGATTTATCCATTACTACGTGTACTACCTGTGTTTAATAGGTTTAGCTTAGGACAACATTACATTTATAGTATTTATACCCATTTCCTTGATATAAACACTGAATGAAATGCTGAAAGCATGACAAACTGTGGGTGATGTTTGCCATTTTGATTTTTTTAAAATCTTTATGTTTTTGGGTAGTCCTGAGTGTATGAAAATGAAATGATGCTGACATGGAGACAGCTGTTTGTAGCAATTTTGCTTACATTGTTTTTCCTCATTGTATTGTTAAACATAACACTGCAGTCTCTCTGCAGATGTTAGCCTAGCTTTATTATCTACTAATAGGTTGCATTGAAATGTGTCAAATGTGACAGATGTGTTTCGGTTGTCCTTCTTTTATGGCATGTGTGTCAGAATATCTGGGCTCATAGAGACTGATACAGTAAAGACACATTTACAACAATAGTTGCCATTACATTAATGTTTGAAGAACACACCTTCACTCTTAGCATAATTGAAAATACAAAATGGATGCTTACCTATGTTACTGCTGAATATCTCCCGTGAAAATACATCTCCATTTTGTTAAAAGAGGTGAGGAATTGGAGCTGCTAAAAGATGGGGCTAATGCAGTCTTGTCTTGTGCGTATAGATTGTGCACAGTAAATCTAATATTTTTAATTTTTAATCAGTTTCAATTCCAACTGGGAATCCTTATATGAAATTGATGTACAGGTAGAAATCCCTGCATGCAAAATGTATGTGCAACCATATACACTTGGGAAAGTTGTGTAAAGAAATTAAGATACTAGGGTTAATTAAGTTTCATTAATCACAAAGACATCGTGAAATGGTATGTACGAAATCCAGATTTTTTTGACTATTATTTTTGTAAAGAAAAATCACTAAGAAGTGGAGAACAAAGCCCAGTAATTAATGAGTGCGCAGCAATGTCATGGATTTGGGAAATGATTGTTCAAAATGTCTTGGCCTAGAACAGGAATATTTCACTTAACAGAAATGAGGTTTCAATTGAAACACTAATCAGTCTCACAATTATTCAAAATCACAAAGCCATCATTTTTTTTTAAAAAAAAACCAACAACTCAGCTATATAGTGAAGTGAGATAGTGGGAGAGGTGATGGAAGATGAAGCCATCAAAACTTACTATCCATAATTTTTTTGGCGAATAGTATGTCTTTAAATCCATCTGAGTGAGGACTCTGGAAATGGAGCCTAAGGCTTACATATACTTTTAGGGCTGGATATATTTCTTCTGTCTTTCATACTGTGACCAAACTGGGTATCTCAAATCACTATCTTCAACTTCGTGTCTCCTACATATTTGTACTTTCAACTCCCCAAATTCTTAGGTTTAGGAAGAAATTCTCTGGTTGAAGGAATATTGTCATAGCATAGACAGCATAGCATAGACAGATGGGTCTTCTATTCTGGGTCTTCCCTGAGACTTTTGCCTAAGAAAGTTTTGGATGCATTTAGAATGTTTCCTGATTGCAAATACTACATTTTATACTAGAGATTTTACTGCTATGCTGAAATTGTATGTCTAAACTATCTAAAACATCATTTACAGTTTTTAATGTTAAAGATTTTTTTATTTTAGTTTCTCCTCCTATTAATATAGCTTGTTGTGATTTTGCTTTGCATTAATTTGTTGTGGCATGTCTATATTTTATATTGTGTGCCTTTAATCGGAAACTGTCTTGGGCAACATTTTTTCCAAAAAAGCAGGGTGCACATACTTTAAACGTGTTCAGTTAAAAAGAAGAACCACAATTTAAGTACCTCAGAAAGCTGCAGTAGTGTGCCCATTAAAGTGTACAACTTCAAAAAAAAAAGGGGGGGTACACATTCAAATAGGCCCCAAGCTATTGTATAGCAGTCCTGATTGGTTGTTTAGTTCTTTGTTTTTTTTATCTTTTCTCTATCAGTTTGAGCAATAAGAGCTCTTGATTAATTAATAATGACAAAATTGATTTATTAGCAGGGTTTTCTTCAGTGAATTTGTGAAATGAGGAAAAAAAGAGTCTTTTTTTTAAAAAAAAAAATAACTATGCCTAGGAAAGGAAACAGTATTTTGAAGAAAAAAAATATTCTTTGTTTGTGTTTAGGGCGTTACCTACTTCAAATTGGGGGCTTCCCCATAGAAGAGGCGTTGTTTCTTCTTTATCTTGAAGATACTGTAGTACATTGGTTCTCAACCTAAGGTTTGCAATATCATTATAAGGGGTCCATGAAGGCTTGAAGAAATATTATGATTTAAATCTTGAGTTAAGTCTTGAGGGTCTGTGGCCATGGTCCATGGCCACAAAATGTATTTAAAGGGGGTCCGTGGTGAAGAAAAAGTTGAAAACCACAGCTGTAGGAGGTAATTTAAGGAAATACATATGTTGAATGTATCAGTTAATCAGAGGCACTCTTTTGCTAAAGGTTTTGCTCTGTTACTCTATACAGTTAATAGACTAAGTACTGAATCCTAACTGTACTTAGTTTATATGCAAAGCAATATCAAATGGTTTAAAATTGCATCCATTTAATAGGATCAATACATTTGAGTAATTCTTCCTTCTTAGGAAGTCTTCTTTCATTATTTCCTGCCCTATCAAGGTTTGCTTGCTGCCTTGGCAAATTCAGCTCACTTATACCAGTTCCAGGCATCATAAAGTTATATGGTGCATGGATCTGGCATCATAAATAAACCAGCTCAAATCATGATGAAACCCATCAACTTCAGAGATTTGTCAATGCTTTTTCCACCCCTGGTTCTACCGCACAGTCAATGGTTCCTCTGAAAGTTGTTGCATGGTATTTCTGTACTAAAAGTGATCATCTTTCTTCCCCACCCCATTATCTCTCTATAGATACATAGAGTACTGGAAGAATTTGCAGACTTTGCATGCCGTAGACATGGAGCTGTACACAGGACTCCAGAGATTGTGAGTATTGTGTTTTTGAGTATTTTTGTCTCAGTTTGTGAGAACAAGCAAAGGTTGACCAGGTCTGTTCCTCTACACTATCAAAAGAAATCGTAGGTAAAGTATGTTTCTCGTATGAATATTTGACCTGCTTACTGAGTTTAAGACCAAATGTTCTCTTCTGGGTTTGTGGTTCAATATGCATGGCTGAACTTGGATTTAGAAGTGTTTCACTGAATTTGAAAAATGTGCATTCACTTTGTTACCTCCTTTGGCCATTTTTTGAAACAAAACAGAGAGTTGAGCTTTTGCTGAGGAGGCATGTTCTTGCACCAAATAAGCCAACATCAATAGGTGAGCAATCAAATTTAGTTCTGGAACTGCAAATCCATGACAGTTATCCAAAGGTGAAGTCTACAGATTACTGATCCTAACTGCAACTTAGATTAGGTGACCAAAGAAGTTAGAATCTCGGTTCATTTCATATAGCTGGTAATTCCAATAATTCATTCTGTGGAGAATTTGTAGTTTGGATTTAGACTTGGATGCTTGGACAGAAATGCTTGCTTCTTGCAGACCAGCTTCCTTTATTGCTTTTTGGTAGACCATTGACTTGCCAATTTACCTTCAAATCACCTGCCTTGAAATGCATATGGGACTTTATAGATCATTCTAAAGTAGGAGTGTCAAACTCGCAATGTCACGTGATGTGTCATGACATATCACGACTTTTTTTCCATTGCCGGCAATGGGGTGGGCACGGTTTTGCCATGACGCATCCAGCCCACAGGCCAGAGGTTTGATACCCCTGCTCTAACTTGACAACTTTAAGATATGTGAACTACAACTCTCTGAATTCCTCAGCCAGCTGGGGAATTCTGGGAGTTGAAGTCCACATGTCTTCAAATTCCCAAGGTTAGAGACCCCCATTCTAAAACATAGCTGGGAATCCATGTCCATACTGAGCATTCTGCTAAGGCTTAGCCATTGTGAATTTCAGGTTTATCAATTTCAAGTTCCTACTCTGAGAACTTCCATGCTAAACATATCTCAGGAATTTAAATTTGTTAAATGCCTTCTGTCAAGAAAGCAAATGCTACAGTAACTCACCTGAGTCTCACCACAAATCAACAACACCATTTTGCTAAGTTATTCTGTAACTTAGCTCCAAGAATCAAATGTCCTCTGTAGGAATTGCCCATGTTACATCGTAAGTGGCTTGTTCAGAATTTCTCTAAATTTAGTGCTGGAATTATGATTGTGTCTCTGTGTTTCTGCTAGTGAAGGATTTTAAAAACAAAATCAAAGGAATAGATATAGACATATTCCTTTACAGGAGGAGAATATAAAATATGGCACTTGATACTCTTACAAAGCATATTCATTGTGTCAGAAACAATCAGAAACGCATTTATGGCTTACGAGACATTCTGTCAGAAAAACTTTCTGATTTGTTTGGTAGGTGAAAATGTACAAGCCACAATGTTAAATTTAGACTTTTAGTTGGATGCTTTCTATACTTGTTGATAACACCATTAATCTTATGACATTTGTGACTCTTTTATTTGATTGTTCTTGCTGTGATTACTTTCCCATTTTTTTGGCCTAGTTAAAGAATTATAAAGAGATAGTACATACAGAATTTACTGTTCATTGCAAGTATTTTATTATCATATATTAGTATTATTAATTGGAAATAGAAATCCAGTGGATAACTGAAACAGCAACGTTCAAATAAGCAAGTACTTTTTTTAAAAAAAATGGGGGAACATATGTTATTATTCATTTGGTTTACAAAAGTACAAGCAAGTACTTTTTAAAAAAAATTGGGGAACATATGTTATTATTCATTGAGTTTACAAGGAATTGTATGCTTTCATTAGGTATAGCTATAGCCTATATGTACAGAATATACATAGTGTGTGTATGTTTGTATCTCTAAAGAGATGATTTATAAATGAAAATACATACTTTAAGTTGTACGTTACTATAAGCCATAAGAAAATAATGGAGAGATGGAAAGTACCGGTAATACTTGAATGCTGGGCACGGACTGCTATTCATTTTCTATCAAGATGTTTGGTCACTGCATGCAATTTTTGGTTGCTTGGGAACCATCTGTCGCTCAGTGACCGAGTGTTTCCTTGGCCTACTGAAATCCTGCTAGAGACATGGAAGTCAGGCAAAACAACAACAACAACAATCTGAAACATGGATTTGATTTAGATCTATAACCTGATTCAGACCTCCATATTGATTCAGAAAATTGATTGGCTTTGGACTCCAATTTGACTCATCCCTTTGAATCAATCTGATTCTGACTTCCAAACTGATTAAGGGACAAGATTTTAAATTGTTTAAATGGATGTAGAGGTCTTCGGTTTGATTCAACAGTTCACCTCAAGTTGCTGAATTTAGTTTAGAAATCTGATTTAATTTAGAGTCACTTTATGGAATGGCAGATGTCACTGTTCTAGAAACTTCCAGAATCCATACAAAGCAGGGCAAATGGCAAGGGATGCTGGGAGTTGTAACTGAACAATATCTGGGGTAACCCATGTTAGCAGCTCAAGTTGTAGAACATTCTGAGGGTTAATGAACTGATGATCTGACTTTGATATATATGCTTCGTTTGTTTGAGACTAAAGCTGTCAGAAAGCATTGAACTAATGCCTTAGGCAGATGAAATGCTTCATTTTGCCTTAGAAATCCTTAAAATAGCTATGCAAAGATGGCTGGTATTCTCCCCACATTTGGAATTGTGGAAATGATACACACTGAGGCTAAATTAATCATGGGACAGCTTGTTGCTGCATCTTATCCTCTGAGGGGATTCCTCTCTCTCTCTCTCTCTCTCTCTCTCTCTCTCTCTCTCTCTCTCTCTCTTTATATATATAAAGATATATCTATCTTTCTATCTTTCCCTCTCTCTTTATATATATAAAGAGAGAGAGGGAAAGATATAAAGATAGATATATAGATAGGGAGAGAGAGAGAGATAGGCAGACAGACAGACAGACAGACACAAAAGTGTATTATATTAAGGAAAATGCTTTAAAAATCTGTGTACCTTAGGGAGAATTGCCAAAAAAGAGAGAGAGGCATGTTTGCAGAAGTGTGCACTAAATGCTTTTGAATTTTAGTGGAAAAGTTATTCAAAAAAGAAACTGAATTCAAATAATTGTAGTTGACATATTTGGCTGCCCCGGTACTGAGAAAAAACGATCTTGACAGATTCGTTCCCCGATTGGGGGGGTGGATGTGTGGGAATGTTTTAAAGGCCTCTAGATTCAGGCTGGCAGGATAGTCTTCCAATTATCTCTTCTGATTCAATATTAACGTGAGATCTCTGAATGCCTGACGTTCACTGATTCTTTCTTCATGGGTTGCTTTTCCTGTCCTTTTGCATCTTTTTGCAGGACAATCACGAACTCAGGGCTCCGAAGCATCCAGCCGCGGGCGTTCGATAAGAATCCTCACTTACATTACATGTAAGTAGACGCACCCCTTTGTGTCCCATGGTTACTTTTTGGAAGAGTTTTGAGTTGCTTGAGATGGAGTTGGTTGAAACATGGTAAACGACAAAGCGATGAAGGCACTTTGGTGAAATAGGTCCTTATGGCTCAAGTGAAGGCATGGGGGCTGCCTGTTGGCCATCTACATTCTAGCGTATGAAAATAATCAACTGTAGCTGTAATGGAATGGAATTGAATATAAAGGAGAGTTTCTGCTATGAAGCAGAGGCCAGATTATGAAGGCAATACATGATGAAAGGGATGAATTTCATTTTTTTTAGTAACAAAAATTAGACATGGGGTTCAAATGACAGCAGCCTTATACACTTCACATAAAACAGGGGTATTTTTTTGAAAAAGCCAAAAATTGTTTTAAGTATATTGCAAGAAAGGAGCCTCTTCCCCCTCCCACCCCCCAATGCATACACATAATTTTCTCAGCAAGAACCTTATCATGATGCAATAGTCTTCATGGGACCTAATCTGAGCATATTTTCTCCACTAGACTAAAATACAGTTTGGATCACTGCTGTTCTCCAATTATGGGTTGCCATCCCCGGGGGGTTGTGAGTAAACTGGGATGGGGTGGGGAGTTGAGTTGATTGGCTTTGCACAAGGAAAGTGGGAAAGAAAACTCAAGTGTGTTTCCATGGATGACTAAATCCGTGGGCCGAGCCATCTGTCAACCTCATCTGCCATTCATCAGAGCACCGTGTGGTAGAATAGCCGTAGTCTTTTGAATATCTGTAGAAAGTAAGCTTATTCATTAATTTAAATGCCCAGCCTTCTCAAATGAGGGGAAAAAGGATGGCAATAGATAAGCTAAAGGGGAACTTTAAAAGATAACCAAGCCATTGATACTGATAAAAGTAAGCTTTAGTCAAGAGAGTAAGGTGAAAGTTACATTGTATTTTAATAAGTGGATGTAGGAGAAGAGCAGGCAGGGCTGGGGGGAAGAGTTAAGTGAGTCATCAGCCTAAAGTTATTACACTGCCATAAATGGTGCAAACCCAACCCCTCTTGAATTCCATTGACCCTTCTCTAGTGGCATTATAGCATTGAACGTTAGTTGACAAGATTCTTGTATATAGGCTTAAGCAATAAATTTTCTTAACTGCAACTTAACCTATGGTCCTGATCCTTGGCACCTGACAGTGGTGTATTTAATTCTTACATAAACCTAATGCAATTGGTGGGGAGGGTATGAAATTGTGGTACGTCAAAGTTAGAGGGGCCCTGGTCTACTTTATTTTCCAAGTGAGTAGAGACTGCAATTGAGCAAGTCACTGTAACGAACAGAATTGTTTGGGTTTTTTGTGTTTTTTTTGTAATTTTAAACTGAAACAGATTCACCAATGAATTGTGTCACATAGAAAAGTATCCACACCCTTTCCAAATATACAGCTTTCACAAGTAATTCTAATAGGGATCAAAGACAAATTTATGTACAACACATTCTCTCCAATTGCTCTCTGGAAACAATTTTATTTGTCCAAGTGTGTTAGTTATTTTTTTTAAAGATCATGTTATTGTTTTCAGTGGCAAATGGCTTGTTGTTTTTATCCTTTCCATTTCTATAAAATTGTTGTATTATTGTAGAAGCCTGTGGGTGGAGATTGATATAGTTATATAGATATATAGATATAATGATTAAATAACTAAATAAGTAACATCTAAAACTCCTTATAATGTGATATTAGTTGGTTTGGGGCCTATCTGCAGATAAAAAAAGTGAAATTTATAGAATTCAAGAGCTAGAGAAGAGGAAGGGGCAGAGACAGCCCTCCAATGACTCCTTTATCTGGTAATGCTGGCTTAATAACAGTATTAAAGACTCTAATGTGATCTTCTGGATCTAGTCTACAGGGTCCTATAATGGTGATCTAGTGGAGGTACAACTATTAAGGTACAGACTTATGGATTGTATGTTTCTTGAGGGAACTTATATCATTTTCTGCCCTGCTTTAGGATTTCTTGTCAAAAGTTTCTTTGATTATGGTCTCATTTTGATAGATCCATAGCTTACTTACTTTGATTTGTTGTTGTTGTTAATTGCGAAGTCGTGTCCCACCCATCGCAACCCCATGGACAACATTCCTCCAGGCCTTCCTGTCCTCTACCATCTTCTGGAGTCCATTTAAGTTCACGCCTGCTGCTTCAGTGACTCCATCCAGCCACCTCATTCTCTGTCGTCCTCTTCTTCTCTTGCCCTCCATCTTTCCCAGCATCAGGCTCTTCTCCAGTGAGTCCTTCCTTCTCATTAGGTGGCCAAAGTATTTGAGTTTCGACTTCAGGATCTGGCCTTCTAAAGAGCAGTCAGGGTTGATCTCCTCCAGGACTGACTGGTTTGAACGCCTTGCAGTCCAAGGGACTTGCAGGAGTCTTCTCCAGCACCATAGTTCAAAGGCCTCAATTCTTTGTCGCTCAGCCTTTCTTATGGTCCAACTTTCACATCCATATGTTGCAACTGGGAAAACCATGGCCTTGACTATACACACTTTTGTTGGCAGGGCGATGTCTCTGCTTTTCATTTTATGAAATTGCGTTTTAAAAATAAATGTTATAGTTTCCTTGCATTTAAATATAGCGAATTCAGGGAGAAGCTGTATAAGAAAAAAAATATATTAAGCAGACTTCGTAGGAAAATGAACACATTCCTTTTTATGTTTATGCATTCTTCTTTGCAAAAATTGTGCATGTGGACACACAAACAATAATATAACATTCAGGCTTAGGACAATAAAAAACACTTTTGCATTAAGTGCTAATCCAAACAACAGACATCTGTTTCATCCTGTGTAAAGATAGAAACAGAGAGAAAATATACACTGACAGTACAGATAATCCTTGACTTACAACAGTTCATTTAGTGACTGTTCACAGTTACGACACTGAAAAAAGTGACTGATGACCATTTTTCAGCATCCCCTTGATCAAATGATCAAAATTCAGACACTTGGCAACTGGTTCATATTTATGATGGTTGCAGCGTCCCAAAAGAGATGGGATGGGTTTTTCACACTATAAATAGGAAGGGAATAATGTGAGACTAGACTGAAGCTGTCATACTTAAAGATGATTGAGGAAACTAAAATATTTCCCACTAGTTGAGATCAGGGAAATTCTACCTGCTGACTAAACAGCAACATTACGTTCTGGTTTTTGAGCATCTACACAGTTTGAAATTTTAACCTTGTTTTCTCCAATCACATTTTCTTAATCAAAATAGTTAGACAATTACTGCTTTTGAAGCTAAAAAAAAAGGCATAGTGTCAAGAAACATTGACTAAAGAAGCAAATGAAACAGTCCAATTTTCATGACATTTCAAGGGAAATTACAATAACAATCACAAGATCAAATTGGGCTTCTTGCCCAACATGTCTGAGCACTGTTCCTTTTTCAGGGACAATATTTGCTATTTAGTGTTCTTTAAAAAAAAAGATAGTATCTTGATGTTTGCCTTTGCCAGAGCAATTAAATTGGATTATTGTGACCTACATCACGGTTGGCATTTTTGAGCAGTTTTTAAGGGTACATTAAAAAAAAGTAGGCCAGGGCTACAGTAGATTGAGAAATGATATGAGAACATTGAAGTAGAATTCTGACAATAGCTAGCTGAAGAGGAATTTGTTGCGAATGTAGATAGCATTAGCAATAGCCCTTAGACTTATATATTGCTTCATAGTGCTTTACAGCCCTCTCTAAGCAATTTACAGAGTCAGCCTATTGCCCCCAACAATCTGGGTCCTCATTGTACCAACCTCGGAAGAATGGAAGGCTTGAGCCAGTCAGGATCAAACTGCTGGCAGTGGGCAGAATCAGCCTGCAATATTGCATTCTAACCACTGTGCCATCACGGCTCTTCAGATATTAATCTTAAAAGTATAAACTGGGAATTTTGCCATTTCTATATAAAGATTTTTTGCTGTGGATTTTAGGTTTTAATTCCCTCTCTGGTACTTATCAATTTCAGATGAACAACCTTGCCAAATATTTATCCAAATTCAATTTGAATGCACCTAGCTGATTGTTGGTCATTAGTCCCAGTGTCAAATTCTTCTTACTGTTAAGATTTCCCCCCCTGACATTCAATCCAAAATCTATTTTCTTGTCATTGAAAATCATTATTGTAGGGATGACATACTGAGATAATATATAGCAATAGCAATAAGACCTTCATATCACTTCATAGTGCTTTACAGCCCTCTCTAAGCAGTTTAGAGAGTCAGTATCTTGCCCCCAAATAATCTGGGTCCTCATTTTACCGACCTCGGAAGGATGGAAGGCTGAGTCAACCTTGAGCCAGTCAGGATCAAACTGCCGAACTGCAGTTAGCCGACAGAATTAGCCTGCAGTGCTGCTTTCTAACCACTGCACCACCACGGCTCTTATATATAAGTTACAACATTCTTTTGTATGGATAATTGAAGGCTCAGTTCACACAACAAAATCATCTTGTTTGTTGAATTAACCGATGTTGGAGTCTGCAGAATATATTCAATTAACAGCTAACAACATATTGTTGCCCAATATATTAAGCTAAAAAAAAGCCTGACCAAGAACTAACTGAACTTAGCCTATGATATAAATACAGCTGCTGGGTTTTTCACTAACCTAATTAAGTTGAAGAGCATTATAGTAGCATATCTTCCTTCAAATATAGTTTTTGGGGAAAGAGCCTCAGATCGCTTACATTTCCTATGATTGTTTTAAAACCAGCCTTTTTACTTTCATACTGGACATATATTGGCATTCACTCCGTGTCTCTAAACTAGCATATGTGCTGTTTATTCAAACATACCCACCCACTTTTTCTTTACTGGCAAGTGCCAAGGGAGATTTAGCTTAGCAACATCTAATTGTGTGTATGTATGTAGTTTCTAGTGTGCATTTCACCTGTGTGCACTTTGTAGAATGTGGCTTTTTAAGTATGGCTTTATTGTTTTTACACTTGGCCTGAATTAGAGCAGTTGCC